CAGACGGATATAATGTACGCTCAAAATTCAAGGAATCACATCCACCGTTACCCGCCAACAAAGCTATAGAAATCAAACGCTTGTGTCGCAATATACGAGTTCTGAAAACAAACACAAACATACTCGAAAAATGCGCGGATATCATCGAAGAACAGAAACAAAAGGGTATTATTGAAGTAGTTCCGGACAAATAGCACCAGCAAGAAAGCCATCTACATTACATTCCGCATCAGCCGGTGATTACACCGCACAAAGAAACCACAAAATTACGCATTGTATTTGACGCTTCCTCACACTTCAGGAACAGTCCGTCCTTGAATGACGTATTTCAGGGACCATTTATTCTCCCAGAGTTATACAGCATGCTGATACGCTTTCGGGCAGCCAAATACATATGTAGCGACAGCTGACATTAAATAAGCATTTTTGCAAGTTCACCTTAATGAGATCGAAAGAGATACAACAAGATTCCTGTGGGTCTGCGACATCAACCTCCTTCCGAAAGAAGGCATTGTTATCACTTATCGCTTCACAAGAGTAACATTTGGCCTGAATGTCTCTCCATATTTATTGGCCGGAATAATACGCTATCATGTGCAACATCAGGATCTAAACAAGGACCTCGCAAGCGATATACGTGATAATCTCTACGTGGACAACTTGATCCTTCCCGCAGATACAGGAACTGCAACAGAAAGCCCAAGTTTCAAGACAAATTTTTGAGGATATGGGAATGAACTTACGCGAATATTTCACCAACACCCTCACCCTCACCAAAGTTTTGAAAAAGGAAGTTTGCGTTACGAAGCGCATCCAAAACGTACTGAGTGTTACGTGGAACGCTGATGATGATAATTTGATCATCAAATGCACGGTATCGCCCTCGGATTTGATAACGAAACGAACTGTTGCGCGCCAAATAGCATCAGTGTATGATCTCTGGGATGGTTAGTCCCATTAATGACGAAATTGAAAGTATTCCAGCAAAATCTCTCGAAATTGGCACAAAAGTGGGATGACCCCATTGATACAAACCTACGCGAGGAATGGATTAAGCTCAAGATGAGCGTGGATAACTATGAAAATTCAATTTCTAGAAGACTAACGCTGGGTACGGAACCTTATCATCTCGCAGTATTTGCGGATGCAAGCGAGATAGCCATAACAATATGCGCATGCCTGTTCAATGAGCAGTTCTCTTCACGTCATGGCCAAGCCAAAACTCCCCTTCACAGACGGTCATACAACAATGCCCAAAATGGATTTGAACGCTTTAACGATAGCGGTGCGACTGTCAAACTCGATCTTCAAAGCAATCCGAGAAAGAAGCAAGGAATGTTCACGTACTATCATTATTCTATCAAACTCACAGATTGCATTGAGCTGGCTTATGACCCTCCCATATCAAGACAAAGCAGGGGTGCTTGTGAGGAACAGGACTAGCGAAATTCATGAAATTGTCTCGGAACTGGAGGAACAACAGTGTCAAGTACAATTCAAGTACGTGATGACGGAGGAAAATCCTGCGGATTTGGGCACTCGAGGAACAGACTCGCAAGGAATAAATAGTGATATGTGGTGGCATGGACCATCCTTCTTGCGAAGACCCTTGACTGCATGGAGAAACCCAAATTATACGCTGCATAAGCAAGATCAGCCTAGGGCAACAGCATTAGTGTCACGAACAAGATTGATCAAGGAGACATCGAACCAACATTCTTGGGATCTCTCCAGATTTTTAACACTGAAAAAAGCAGTAAGCACTGTGGCAATAGTAATGCTTCATCAAAAAATTACTACATAAAGTTCCGCTGGAAGAGCGAGGGGAACACATTTCAGAGTTACACGATATACAAGATTTGCCGCTTCCCGCGACGGCTCAATAAAAACGAGCAGCGCGAAGAGCAATCATACGCTACCATTAGAAAATTTATCTCGCAAAGGAATACAGAAAATCAATGGAAAATACGCTGCACCTATTCCAAGATCGCCTACACATATGGCGTTCAAAAGAGAGATTGGAGATGTCATTCTTAGAAGAAGACGCGAAAAATCCGATAATCATAGCGCCAAGGACGGCACTGGCAAATCTGATCATTCGCGAAGCCCACGGAAATTATCACAATGGAGTAGAACACACGATAGCTAACGTCAGAGCGCAGTATTGAATCCCGCAGTTAAGTCAACAAGTGAGACACTTGATCCATGACTGCGTTAACTGTAGGAGATTCAACGCACTGCCATATCACTATCCGGACTCTACGAATTTACCAGAAAGAAGAGTTTAAAGAGGACGGCTTTTTCAACACATTGAACTCAACTTCTTTGACCTCCTCTCGGTAGATGAAAACAAATGCTCCAAAATCTATGGGTGCATCTTTACTTGCACAGTTACACGCTTAATCCACTTGGAGTTGGTAGCCAGTATGAGCACCGAAGATTTCCTGAACGCTTTAAGACGTTTTATAGCGAGCAGAGGCATTCCGAAATCGATCACTTGTGACAACGCTTCGACTTTTCTCTTGAGTGAGCAGATCCTTAAAGACGCTATAGCTGGAGAGTACCGATCTTGAAATTGATTGGCACCACATCACGCCTTATGCCTTATCGCAAGGCGCATTTTATGAACGTCTTATAAAGTCAATCAAACAGTTGCTGTACAAGGCCACAAGAGAAATGATCATACGTTCCTACGACCAAATGGTGACGATAATGGCGAAAATAGGGGCTTGCCTGAACTCACGTTCGCTAGCATATCAAGAGGTCAAGCCGTACATGCTTGGAATGATCCGCCCACTCGACTTCTTGCAGAAGGACTGGGTTGTAACTCTTCCACTATGCGTAAATCCGTTAATGGACAATGATCCGATTTACCACCCGCCGAGTTAAGAACTTTACAAACACGGAAGCAGGTAGAAGAAGCGCTTACGTCGTGTAAATTGCTGGAACGCTTTTGGAAGATATGGCAGCAACATTATCTTACCAGCCTACGTGAGAAACAACTAAAGAACATTGTAAAGCGGAGACAAGGAACAGAGGTGCCTACGGCTGGTTCGGTAGTGTTATTGAGTGACCCGGTGTTTCCTAGAAACTCGTGGAAACTAGCGCGTCTTACGGAAATTCACTGGGGAGTAGATGGAAAAATCCGCGAAGTTAACCTCAACGAACAAGCGTAAAATTCGACGCCCAGTCAACCTTCTCGTCCCGCTGGAAATTGAGGAAGAAGAAAACCAATAACGCCGAGAGCACCAGCCGAAACAGCAAGTGACCAGAAGGAAAAGGTGTATCACCGCTATGACCTTCGGCTACGCAAGCAACAACAGTACGTTGAGAATGCTCTGACCAACCAGAAATCAAATCTGACTAAGAATTTACGCACAAAATGGTTCCTCTTCTATGTCATAATCTTGATCATACTCTCACCCACAATGCAGGAACGTTCGCATTCCATCATGTTCAGTTGTACGCCCAATGGAGTGTTTCTTCATTCGGTTATAGACGAGTCATTCCAAATTTGCGCAGACAACTATTGCAAAACACAAAATCAAGGAGCTCTCTCCATGACCACGTGGTTCGAGTATCATGATTCGATGGCAGAGCATTAAACTTGACTGTGATCGGCAAACACTGCTCTTCACGCGAGCCGTAAGATTGAACGTGATAGATAGCAAGCGTTGTGCGCACATAGGATTTTGTCCAAGGAATAAATGCGTGGATGTAAGCAACTTCAGTCTTATACCCGAGCTAGAACCAGGAAACGCATTCCCAGGAAGAACTGGATGTATAGAATTCTGTGGGGGATGGAACTGCGATTGCTTCTACCCAAGCGTCGGGTGCTTTTCTACAGAGTCTATGCAGTTCCAAACTCAAAAGGTTCACGAACTTTTCCGCTGCATGAGATGGCGAGAACAGGCGAAGTTTGAGGTCACGCTAGAGCGGGAGGACAAGGAAACAAGTGTTCAACGCTTTATTACACCACTGATTCCCAATGTTTCTGTCGAATTACCCTCACTTTGGATAGTGATGGCCTCCTTAGCACGCAAAACCCCGATTTGGCAGCTAGAAAATGACCGCGGAGTACTCGTAGCGCGAATCCGAATCCCGCAGATGGCAACGGCGGAATTTATCACAGACTCCATGTAAAAGATCAACGATCCCATTCTCGAAGTGCATAACGGCGTCTGTACCGTAGAAAACAGCATTTTACAAGGCTGCTACAACTGTGCACAAGGAGCAAAAGCCGTCATTACTTGCAATGCGAAAACGCAAAGATTAGCAGAGATATATTGCGCCCAAGATGTCTTTGCTGTTCCATGTGGTCCAAAAAACCCTCAATCTACCCTGGCGTTCGCGCTGAATGCCGCAAGGCAAGAGATGAACTGTACGGTCAAATGTGGAACAATTTCAAAAAATTTCACGGGACACATAAAAATGTGAGCTCCTTACATATTTGAGTGTCCCAACCTCCTGAGACCCATTTCTAGCAACCATCCAAAGAAACAGCATGCTGTGCAGCGAATTCCAGTGGCCTGATCTACAGTACATATTTAAAACCATGATAGACTGGTATAAGTCAATATTAGTAGAAGTACTAGAGGTTGTAATGGCGCTGTTGATCACCTATTTGACCATTCAATCTCTAGGATTCGAATGATATCTTTGCTTGTGAAGTTAATACATGCTATTCTCTGTTGTCTCGTACGCGGACTCAACGCACTCATCCAATTTTTTCGTGGTAAAAACAACCAATTTCGATTAGCTTGCACTGCACCAAAAAACTGTCTGATGTCACTAGAAATACTTATCATTAATATTTTATATATTTGAACCGGTACCATTTCAAACCGTGAGTCGAGAAGAGAACTGTCCCGCTTGAAAGAAGAGAACAAACAACTACGCAGCGCCATTCCAACGCTTCCGCTTCCGCCCGTGTTGTTCCAGCAAATCCTCGATCACGCCGGGCAGCTCAACCAGACGATGCGAGATGTCAGCCAATTGGAATGGAATGTACTGCGCATCGATGGTTCACCACAAGAATGGTCTGATCGACTAGCTTTACTGCAGATGAAAGAGAATGAATGTGATTGTTTTAGATTAGAGCTCCTTTATTTGAGAACGCAGTTTTGTATGTTTTCTGCATTGCCTCATTTCCTCGTGGCTACGAACGTGATCTCCCTCGACACCTGGAAAGCTATGATTGCGCGCGAGAGGAGAGACGTTCATGGAATGGACTGCTCACGGACCAGGATATCATCAACTTCGCCATCGACGACCATCTGCGCACCGTCACTTCGCTCAGCCAAAAACTCAAAGATATTCGCAATCACCTGCAACAGGAGGAAAGCACAGAGGTCGCCAGTCGACAGGCACAGATCCTCGCAGCAGTCACCACCCTCGTAGGCAGTAAAGAATCCACGTCGAAAAAGATGGAAGAGTTTGAAACCAGTCCGCAAGATATAGTCGCAACGCTGCAGGAAGTCGAGAAAACACGGCCGCAGTTAACATCAGAAGAAGAGACTTCAACGCATAGGGAGGAAATCATCGATGCGGTCGCAAACGCCGTGATGAGTAAGGTCGACGCAAAAAATATACTGGCCTTAATGTAATGGCCTGGCCGAAATACTGGCCTTCAAGAGATCGCAGCCGACAGGCGAGAGCACAGAAATCGAGAGAGTCCAGACGGTGAAAACGCGGCGAGGCAGGAAGAAGAAAGAATGAAAGAACACGCGACGAACGAGCCTACAGAAACTGTTCAAGAAGCTGTTCATCACGCAGACGACGCAAAGGTCGAGGATGAGCGTCAACTGGAAGAAGAGGCGCTAGGCGAAGAAATTCACAATGAGGAGCCGAACGAAGACGCCGAGCATCTCGATGAGGAGATTTCTTTCGAGGAAGAGCTGGAATATGTAGAAGAAGCTAACAGCGATGACGAAGCATTACTCGAACAGGAAGAGAGACGTTAGTTGGAAAAAGAACGCGAAAGACATGAACGCCAGCGGCAACGTCTCAGGCCAGACCTAGACCAAGCCATTCAAGCAGAACGCGACTTTGAACGTCATAGATGAGCTCTCGCAACGACGAACCTGCCCACCAAAACGCTTCTCACATGGTTTCATTTTACGCGGTGAAACAAACCATTCAGTGCGTGTTTTGTAAACGCATCGGCAATGATTATTCAGACTCGTGTCAGATTGTCGCGGACGCAGCGACACGCCTTGATTTACTGAGAGCTGAGCTTCGCTGTGTCATGTGTCTAATCACAGAATGCGCGGAAGACATTTACTGTCGAAAGCACGCAGTGAAGCTACCACTGCCGTGGTTTTGGACACCATTCGGCCATTTGTGAGTTGCCAGAGGAAAGCCAAACTACGATCAGCACGCGAAGGACTAGAAAGGAACCGCGCAAGAAGGCGCAACATCGAACGTCAGCTACGCGAAGAACGCCAGCAATGAGACATCAAGCGGAGAAAAATATGAATACCGCTTTACGTATTTACGCTTTCACGGATGGCTTCATGTATCTACGCTTTTCACAATATTGCTTTACGCTTCCTACCCACTATAAAGCCGGCGAAAATATTGCGGAGCGATCGCAAAAATGTAAGCAAATCGCGCGAGCCTGAGAACGGCTGGCATGATATGCGGCTTGACCGTATATCATGCCGCTGATCTAACAACAAACGAGAAACGGTACTAAAAGGGCAGATGGAGCTGAGGGAACAATCTCGCTTCTTTACGCGGCTTGAAATCGACCGACCGGCTCACGCTTTGCCAAACTCCCACACGTCAAGGGATAGCTTTGGTATCACTAATAATTATAATTGATCATTCACCCGTCTATTGTATTGTCTATTGTAATTTTTTCCAATAAACGAATAAGCCGTCAGCTTGTGTGTCTACCAATATATCACTTTTGAATCATTCCTCACTTGTATCCTTATACAGGGTTGTCTCAAAAAATTGTGAACACTGTTTGATCGCTGGTAACTCCCTTGCTTTCATGACTTTCGCCGAGCTTGAGGCCAGGTTCAGATCTACAGTATGGAACGAATCATCGATCGGTCCTTATTACTGTAGAACAAAAAAACCTGTACTCATTTTCTGTTGATTCTTAGACAAACTGACTACATCCCTTCTTCAAAGAAAGAAAAAAATCCTGTTTTCTCGCTTTTCTCGCCGCTGTCGGCTGTTCATTGATCCTCTCCCACTTAAGAGGCCGAAATTGTACAATTTTGGAGTTTTGCATGTCCCGTAATTTACTCACGAGCAATTTACGGGATACTAATCTGATTCTCCTCTTTTGCACACTATCTCTCGGGTCACCCTAAAATTGACCCTCGGCTTGACATTCGTTAAACTGACAATGACACTTGACAAACAGTCTTCTGATTTCCAACTGAATATTTCAAAGTACGGGAAGATGGGCGGGAATAAGTTTACTTTAGGAAGTTGTTCTGAGTGACTCATTTTAGTTCAGCTGAGGTGAATGGGGGTTAACTATGGGTCAAAGAGAAAAGTAATAGGAACCACGGAATAACAGAGCAACGCCGGCATGGGACTGTCACCGGAAAGACACTTGGTCGAAGTGGCGTTTCCGTGTAGAGTAAACTTTCCTATACAGCATGAAGCGCTGATTCCACATCTGCTTTCATTATCTGCAAAAACTTTTAAGAAAAGAGTTATGGAAGTTTTTTCAAGGTGCTAATGTCCTTTTTGCGCTTCAAAGCAGTAATGACTAGCATGAGTTCATTAGACTAGACGTATCAGTTGCACAAAACAATCTGGCAATAAACTCGCTCCACTTAAGATCACAAACTACAGTTCTGAAGGATTTGATTATAGCCGCTCGTTCAGATTTTCGCCTTAAAAAATTGCCATAACTCTCATCCCAGAACCGCTTTGCAGATACCAAAACAGACTTGGAATTAGCGCTCCATGGTCTATAAGATGGTATATGTTCCATATAAACATGCCCCTTAGACCGACAGGAGTGGTAACTCAACTCTTTTTACCACTAAAAACGGGAGTTTGTTTCAATAGTTTACACCCTTTCTATATGATAGAGGAGCTTGCAAAGATCAAAAGGTGAAAAGTTACGAAATCAGTTGCAAAGCTGAATTAACAAATCAATAATTTCACTCAATTTTCAAATCTTTATGGAACAATTTTGTTGTGTTGCTGATAAGTTCTGACTTTGCAAATGACTGGCGGTAATAGAGTAAGAGATCCTTCACTCACTTTATGTAGCAATTCTCCCACTATCTACTCTACGTTATCCACTTTATCCAAATGTTAAATCTACTCCATTGTTGTGGGACAAAAAGTGCTGCGTTTACGAGAAACGACTCGCCAGCGAAGATCTATAGGTTAAGGGCCGTCACGAGACATCATTTTGGGGATTACTTATGGTTTACTCTATTACACTGGTCAATCAAATGGCAACTAGCTCAAAAAAACATAATATGGCAATGCACTCCATGAGTGATATTTTGAACTTAAAATAATTTTGCAAGACAAGAAACTCACGGTATTATTGTTGGATCTGTCGTGCGCGATTTTGCTTTTTATTTTTACAAAATAAAAAAGCGATTTTACTTTTTATTTTTACAAAATAAAAAGTAAAATCACGCACGATATACGACTTGGTAGCGACCAGAATGCAAAAACGATTGTATATTAATTCTGACGTAGCATGGTGTGAATTATAAATCACTTCTTAGATAACCGGAAAATCTGTTAGTCTTTTGTAAACGGCTAAGGACATCCAAGTTCCTCTTCAGAGCAAGAATGAATAACGCTGACAGGTGGCTAAAAGAAGAGTTGACCATATATGCTCAAACACAGCAAGAATACTTGCAAGATAAACCTTCAAAACCTTTTAGCAGTTTACACTCAGTGGTCAGGGCCACACTAGCGGAATGCTTATGAAAAATCCTCGTCACCAGATAAGGCAGAACACTTGAGATGCAGACTAGTCGAAATTAGTATTATATTTCTTGATTAATTTATCAATTTGCTTTAATAAATAGTTTATTAATTATTTATTGATTTTCATTGATTTATCTTTTTATTAAGGTGAACGGTAAAAAATGGGACACTTACGATACAACTGGAGGTTTCTCAAGAAAGAGAAATGATTAGACTTTCCAATTCTAATAGATGTTAGAATATATTATTCTCTTTCAGACAGTTCCTAAATAAGGTCATTTACATAATTGAGAAATTATACTTGCTGAAATGCAAAGTTAGTCACTTCAACAAATATGAACTTCGAGCAGTATCTGGGCAGTGAAATATGTGAGATCATCCAAAGTACCACTGCTGGAGTGGGTGGTAGGACAGTCACTAAACCCACGACGGCTTGGTGGCCTCAACTTTCAATATCAGAAGATATGGCCACTAGCAGTTTCGAGAACAAAAATACGCGTTATTCAATTCTTTGCAGGTGAACGCCTGTTTTCTAGGTACCATCTGATAGAGCTTTTTACGCTCTATCCGTCCATGTGCAGCTTACCTCAGATTTTATCTATCTTCGGAAAATGTAAGGCAAAATATAATAATATTATTTTGGTTTTTCATTGCGCCAAGAATAGCTATTTTTCAGGTTTTTTTCACTTATTTTCCTGAAATTGAAGAAAAAACTCGAGCATTCAACACATCGTTTGAAAGAGCATGAAGAAAATGGTATGTCATTTGCCTTACGACTTTTCAGTATAGCAGCGCAAGATTAGGAATTGTTTCAAAAACATTGTCTGAGTTCTTCGCAGCGCCACGCGTACGGTTATGAGAGAGGAGCGGTAATGGTGGCCAAAATAATAGGCGAAAGTCGATTATTTAAGCGACGTTTCAGTTGCAGCCTGCTTGTTGTTTGTGAGAACAAAAAACCTCAAAATGTAATAAAAATCGCTGTCCCATTTTTACCGTTCAGCCTAATATTTCTAATCATTATTGAAACTAGCGACCCTGACGGTCGCTAGCAAGTGGGTCGGGACAGATACAATATGTATAAGGGCGGACTATAAATATTTCTAGATTTTTTAACATTTTTGCGAAAAGCAATCTACAAAAAAAGAACTGCTCGAAGAAGCGATAATCTCCTAAAATCGTATAGTTCTCGAAATTCCTGCTACAGCCATGCATGGATAATATTATTTTTCTCCCGTTTACCACGCTCTTTCTGCAAACTTTCCCTCCTCACAAAGACATTCAGATAAGTTTACTCCCACTTTTCTACCCTCTCAAAGAAAATTTGCTCTTCTATTTCTTTTCAACAAGTTCCACAAAAATCTCAAAAGTAAGTAGCAGAACACCTATCGTTTTGGAAGTAGAAATCTCATAACAATTATGTGTACTACAAAAAACACTTTTCTCTCAGAATCAATTCCGACAGCAACGAAATCAATCGTTTGAGAACTGAGTCAGAAAATCCTTCAATTCTTTCGCCAAAGGATTATGAAGCTTTACTACAAAAGGAGATCCCTCCCCGAAAAGCACGACTACTGAGCCACCTAAAGACCGTCAATCATAATAACTACACAAACGTACAAAAATTGTTTCCCTGCCCGATTGAGTTGCCTTACGTGCCGCTTACACACTAATACCTTGTTGAAAGCACCACCGGGACCCTACACAAGCAAAAGCAAGGTTGTTGTTAGATAAACGCTTCCAAAAGTATATACCAGCAAAACGAAGTAACTCACCCCTCTTTTGTCTACACACGGAAGCAAGATAATCCTAAAGTGACTGTTCTTAGTTAGAGCATTTCTAATAAGATTGGGAACATAGATGAATTTGACTTCAGCTCAAGTCACGCTGTTACGCAATTTGGCATCATTTCAAAAGCAACTTATAGGAGTACAACATATTTAAAAGACATTTTGGGATAACAAACTCGAAAAAAAGCGAGTACAGATAACACACCCGACGACCCAGTCTAAAAATCATTGCGACACGCATGATTGCC